AGAGTCTCAAATGGCGAGAATCATATGGGCTTGTCTTAAGAACACCCGATGGGAAGTAAATGCTTAAACTAGAAACCCAGATGTTAAAATGAGACTTAGGATCCAAAGAAAACGAGACACCGAATAAATAAATATTTTTTTCATTTTCTACTATTTTATTTGGTTGAAGAGAGATTACCTGAAACGGGCTGATTGAAGGATGAAGGAAAAGAGAGAACTTGCCAAGATAATCAGAGTTTTCAACCTTGAGAAAAGGCTAAAGGGATTTTGAGTTAAACAGGAGACTCAAAACCCGAATTGCAATAACACGGATAGACTAACCCGAATTGTTTAATTTGAGTGACCCGTCAATGAAGATTAACCCGAATTGCAATAACATGGATAGATTATCGAGGCATCATTAAACGGCGAGTGCCGAGTTTCCGCCTGTGGGCTGAACAATAAAAATAAGGATAATTATAAATTTAATAACTGTTTTTTTATCATTTTATCTTAATCGTTATACTCTAAAAAAATAATAATTGAATTTTTTTATTATTCTACTGTTAATTTTATAACAACGTCATGACTGACGGAGTGAGAAAATACTAATCATTAAAAGGTCTCACACGACTGGTTCAAAAAAAAAACTCTCTCACCATCTGGTTCAAAAGAGGGTTCCTGCAAAATTGAATTTGTCATTAAAAAAAGATAAATCACCATAGGTTACACCCATCATCCTCAATAACAATATTTCATCTTATTAACTGTCTTATAATATGTATTTCATTGCAATGTTAGAAAACCTTTCGTTGCTGAAACTGTTGCTTCAGTAGAAATTGGACAAGTAGCTGCTGACCTTATATACCATCATCCAAGACATTCTCTGTTTTTGGATGACCACCATCTATTTGAATGAAGTCAACAATTTTGAACTGAATAAAAAATAGCATGCTTCTTGCATGATGGGCCAAACTTTAGTATGATTTCTGTTTCTTCTTCTCTTGTGATTAGTTGATCCTCTATTATGTGTTGAATAATATTTTTTACGATAAACATCTCTTTAAATTTTTAAATTCTCTTATATTTCACGTATTTTCTATTAATTAATTAATTTCGCATTCTCTAAATTTTAATATAATTTTTCGCACTGTCTAACATAAATTTTTGTGTTTGTACCTGATTATGAATACCTTTCACAACTCGTGATTTTAACATGTCTTACAATGTTATCACAATCACATGCACAGTTTTTTCATTGTATTTTGGATTGTTGCTCAATGCACTACGAAGAAGATGAGGTCAGGAAATGCTGGACTGGTGCTATGGGTTCTGCATCGCCTAATGCTGAGTGAGCTGCTGTTGTCAATGGTGAAGGTGAAGATGATGGCTTTGATGATAAACCACATGCATGGGTTGAATGGAGAGAGACCAATGAAGCAGCTGGTATTGTCCGAAATGGTGAAGTGAAAATGAAATTGGTGATAGTACTAGTGAACCCTCTTCATCGCCCTCTGTTAATAAAAGTGAAACTGCTTTGGAGGCGTCTTCAGTCATCTGTAAGTCCTCTTGTTACTAAGGATGAGACAACTTAAGAACTGAGTTTGCACCTATGAATTGGTTTAAATCGAGTCATTATGTGGCAACATTGATCTGATGGGAGTGGGCACTGCTTGGTTGTTGATCAGAGTTGACGATACTTTTCACTGTGCTTTCTGATCTTAGCCAAGAAGAGCAAGAGGGATGGGTCTGAATATACTGTTGAAACTAAACTGAACCGTTCAACTTTGCAGAAACTCCATGAAAGCAAGCTCGAGGAATCTGAATCTCTCGAAGAGGCATATGAAGAATGCTTTTCTTCAAGGTATCTAAATGTAAATCCTACACGAACCAAATTATCTCATTGTAAAAAGAATCTTTGTAATTCGTAGAGGTCATGAGATCGAGCACTAATAATTGCAATAATGATTGAGCGTTTATTTTATTGTCAAATAATTGTAAGTATTTAAAACTAATACTACTTATAATCAATTTAGTTTAATAATATATGTATATATATATATATATCCTATATGTGGCTAGAGAAAATATTAAAATAAGTAAATCCTATGTGACGAGCAAATATTAAAATAAGTCATGTTATCAAATTATAATTGAGAAAAAGGTCAAGTGACTAAAAATATCTATATATAAAGTTCAATTATTAAATTAAAATTTATTAAGTACAATATCCAAAATAAGAGTGATAAAAATTCAATTATTAATTATATAATTTCTTTAAAATAATTAAAAATCAATTTAAATTGTTGTGTTTAAACATGTCATGAATTATAATTTTAAAATTTAAGTTACTTAAATTTAATCAAATTTAATTTTTTATTTAGTTTATAATTAATTTTAGGCTTAATGTGAAAATAAGTGCTCAAGTTATACTCTAGATTAAGTTAACTGATATTTGAAGAATTTGTTTGCTTAAAATAGATATATAGTGTTTCAATGTTACTCTTTTAAGTATTACATCATAACGATCATTAAAAGGAACTGTTATATAACATGTGTCACATTTATATTTTTTGAAAATTTATTTATTTTTAAATATATTTAAAAAACCCAAATTTCTTAAAATTACAAAAAATCCAAAATCTCTAGTTTCAAATCCTATTTTCAGTCATCACCAATCATTTTCAGTCATCTCTTTTATCACTCGCCCACTAACCGATTATATCTTATTATCATCTCAAACCCCTAAATACATAAACTCCTAAATCCTAACTCTAAATTTAATGGATGCAAATTTTAGTTGGAATTTAATCTGAACAATCTCAACTCGGGATGGATCATATTGGGGGAGAAGGCGAACAAAGTAATTAAAGTATTAGTTTTTCTTTAAAAATGTTTTTAAATAATATTTTTTTCAAATAAAAAATAAAATATTCAAAAAATATAAACGCAACACGTGAAAATGTAGTCACTTAAAAGAGTAATCTCGGAAATGTTAGGCACATACTTTGAACGAAAAAATCTTTAAACATATAAAGTAAAAAAAAAGTATAGTTTGGTAATTTTTTATTAAGCTTTAAGTTTAATTATTTATAATATAAAAATAATTACTAGGGTAAGTTACATAATTCATCACTCAATTATCTTCTCATTATTGTTTTGATCACAAAAGTTTAAAAATTTCCAATGTAATAACTGGACTTTTACATTACTCCTATTTTAGTCACTCCACCTTTTGAATTATAAAATCTTTGATGACGTAGAATATTTATTATTTTAAACGAGAATGTATTTTTCATTAATTTTATATAAGTAGGATTTAAAATAAAAAAAAAATAATAAATCCAAACCCGAATCCCAAACCCACTGGCCGTCCAAGCCCAAGTGCACCGCGCATGCTTGAAAGTGAAGAATGTTAACAGTGTTCTTTTATATTATCTCTACAGTGGAGATTCTTGGCTGATTTAGTCTCCAACGGAAAAGAGCTCTAGAGTGGGAAAGATGATTTTAATGTTGCCATTGAGATTCTCTGGTGGTCTGTGCTTGTGGCACTCTTGAAATGCAGTCAAGATCAAAGACTGTAGGGTCGTCCCTATAGAGAATTGCCCAAAGTTCTACATCGGATGAAGAAATTCCAGCAATCATTTACTGCTTGTTCTACTGCAAGGAAGAATGAAAAAGAAACAAAATTAAATATGCTTGTATAAATTTCAAAAATTAAAGGATAGTTCACTAATTAAGCATCCTTTTGTTTTGTGAGGGGATCTACTACTACATCAATTTTTGCATGGCTTTGCTTCATATGGAGGTCAAAATAATGAAACGTGGAAAACATACACCGACATCGTCCACAACAGCGCCATTGGAATATTCCTTTGATTTTCAACATCGGTGCTCCTTCGAACCTCAATATCTCCTAATGACGGGTACAGCTGTCGGAAGTATGGGCAGACAAGAAAAGGGGTGAGTTTCTATAAGTTATTATAAGTGCAGTAATCTTGGTTGTCCACTGGATATTGGAGTTTGAGTTGTTTTCGATTAAATAGATAATAGATTCGTATTTAAAAGGATCAGGTGAGTTTAGTGGAAAATTTTGAGACTCATTGGCCTCCGACAATGGTTGTTGGCAGTGATCAAAATGATGGCTAATGCGGTGGCCGGATTCTAATTAATTTAGGTCGAGAGAAAAAATAAAGAAATGAGGACAATAAGAAGATTCTCGTCTACAAGGTGAAACGAGTTTAGTTAAATTTTAACTCACCCTTCATTGTTAAGGATGGCCAAAGGTGGTCAATTATGATGTGCAGTGACCATAATTTGATGCAGCGTGAAGGTGATTCACGTGAATGTAGTAGAGGTGATGGGATGTTTGATAAAAATGAAAATTAAAAAGCTTTTGGAGTATATTAGGTATAAATCATTGTTCAAGAACATATTTGATGTTTTAGCAATAATTTAAGGGTAAAACTCAATTAACATTTTTATTAAAGTTAATGACCAATTTATTACTTTGAAAACTTAATTGGAAAAAAAATAAAAATTTAAACGAAAATTAACCTTCAATGGCTACATCTTAATTAAATAGAAATGAAAATAACTAAATATTATGTTTTTAAAATTTAAAAAGTGATCAATCTAGTTTACTCAATTTTTTGAGGGCCTTGTATTAAATTTAGATACAACAATCCAATCATGTTATTCAGGCTCAAAAGGATTGGGTGTGAAATCAATACAAGTGAATAAAATTGCTTTATTCGGTCTCATTATCAAGTTTAACAGTGTAATTGAGGTAATTTTGGAATGACATTTGGAAATGCATGTCTAGACATACACGTTCAACTGAAATATCCGACCCCAGTACCTAAAAAAAATGAAAACTTGAAAGTAAATAAGCAACGAGATGCAGGAAACTTCTCTTTTACCAGATTGGCTGGTATTTCTTACTTCATCTGTAAGTAGTGAGGAACTCTGAAATGATCTCTTAATACAAATAATATATGAAAAAAACGAGTGCCCAAAATATCAATTATCTATATATTTGTACAAAATAGTAGACTAGATCTTCTCTCTATCAAGCAACCCATACCTTGTATGCAAGCTTTTCATGTAATTCTATGTTATTACATTACAAACCAATTTATTTTTTTTTTTTTTAAAAAGGTAATCCAGCCTACATCCATGAGGATCAATCGGAACAAAATTCAATCTTCATAGGGATGCACCTCAAACCACAAGTAATATCTTCATCTGCCTGTTGGAGTTCAGAAAAGATCAGAGATATTGAAACCAATCATGTCTCTTGTTCTGCCAAATCTGCAATCCATATCTTCAGTCATGCTGTTTTGCCCCCATCAATTTTAAGTCAGCTAGTTCTACAGAATATCAACAAGCATTGACAGAATCCGAGAAATGGATAATTTCTTTTGATTTCATCTTTTCTTTTCCATTTTTTTATCATGAAAAGAATAATACGGCATAATTATCTGCAAGCTTGTAAAGGATATCATCATGTTTATATTGTTCGCAGAAATCCCCGAACTTCTACCAGAAAGCTGTTTAAGTTCTTCCTAAACCTCTGGTAGTTAACACGGTCTAGTCTTGAAGAAAGATGGTTTGAACTTGTGAGCGAATGCATGCATTTGCCAGTCTTGATTTGAGTGCCGGATTTGTCTGCCTCTCGATTACCTCATTGCCTAATTTCTGCAGAAGAAGCATTAAAACATGAGGAGAATGTCCATAGTGACAAAGTAGAAATAGCATGGGACAAAAATCAACAGAACAAAAATAAAATGCTTGAAGACCAGATCGTAGCTCTTCATGCTTCAACTCATAGAAAAAACATGCACCGATAAGCATTACTATTATCAAGAAACTAAAGGAAAACCTGGTATAGGCCTTGCTCGCAAAGGATCAACGGAAGGAGAGCATCAGCTGCAGCGCTAACCAGATCAGGACTGGAACCACAAGCAAATAAAGGTAAGATCATGTGTAAAACAAAAAGGAGTCAGTCGAGCAACCAATGTTCTGTTCATGTAAAGCTTATTATAGAAATTTGCTTCCTAGTACCTGTAATCTTCAAAAAGGAGCAATTGCAATAAGGACCGTAGAAAACCGGCTGAAAATTCCCTCTGGTAAATTTCCTTGTCCTGCAGAAACCAGACCTGGTTTACCAGCACAGATCTCCTGATAGTTGTATGCAGCCAGGGTTTTCAGAGCTCCCAGGCACATGTTAACCACTTCTAAGTCCTGTATAATCAAGGTTAAAAATTGAAAATAACTAAGCATGAAATATTTAAAGTAAAAATTTTATCTTCGAGCCTGCAAAAGATATATTCATAATGAGGAAGACTCAAGAAAACCATACAATTTGCACAGAAGTTGAATATTAAGGCCCCAACTTAATTTTCTCCATCTTATACTACCCAACCCTAATAGAGGGAGAAATATGGGGTGAGGGTTGAAGACTCGTGTTTGGCCAGGAAGGACAAAAAAGGAAACATTGACATCGTAGGTTATAATTTGGATAGTACTTTACCTGATGGTGAAGACCGAAATCCAGAGTTCCTATGATATGAGCAAATGCCTCACTATTTAATTGTGGAAGTGTTTCGGGGTATACCTCCAAAATATGCGATAGAAGTGAGAAGTACTGCAGAATAAACACTAATGATAAGCTTCCAGAAAATAACACAGGCTACTTCTTCGGAACAGATAGATTTCTTACATCATGACAAAGTTTCGGGTACTTCAGCAGCTCCAAAGATATCAAAGGAGTGACTATGTGAAGACCAAAGAAAACAACCTGCAAGAGGAACATCAAACACTATCCTGAAGATTTAATGACTCCAACAATGAAGTGCTAACCTGAGATATATTAATGCCAGCAGCTTCAACAGAATCTGAAGAAAAATCAACCTACAAAAAGTGGTAAATATTATGTGATAAATTCTTACTCCCACGTGAGAATCAACCACCACACAACACTTACCAGATCTTTTGAACAAAGACTTGAAAGAAGTTGAAGGAGAGCACGCAGATCTTTATATTTCTCTGTCTTTGCCTCACTGAGTAAAGTGCTTGAAAGACTTATTGATATCTGAAAAACGAAGAAAAATAACCTTGCGGAGTCAACTGGCACAGTATTGGTGACAAATATATCACAGTAGTACACGTAAGAGTGGCAGGAGCAAGAATCACAAGGAAGCCCTTTAAAAGTTAATGCTGTTTTGAATAAAGTTGGTTCAACAAACAGAGATTTCAAAACCAGAATAAAAGAGCAAAAGTATCCAGGAAAAAATGTAAGCACGAAAAGTAAACCAACTTATAATGAAATAAAATAATGCCTCCTGGAAAAAATCATAAGCACAAAAAGCAAACTAAACTGTTATAAGAAACATTGCTTGATAAAGAAGTATTCAATAAAAGATCTTTTGCTTGCAATGAATGGAGGAGTTGGATTTTGTCGCAAATCAAAGAGTTATCTTGGAATCAGACTCTTCTAACGCTCTGAAGTGGATTCAGAATCCGGGTCTAACCCCTCATTTGCATCTATCCTTGGTGAAGGACATAATTTCACTTTTGATTGGAAAGGATATTATTTTTAGGCATACTTCAAGGGCGGCAAACTGGGAAGCTGATAAACTTGCTAAAGATGGGATAGGGTGATTTTGGTTATAGTTGTGTTGTTTAACAGGAATTGTTCCTCCCTGTTTGTTGGATGTTTGTGTTAAGTTTTATGTTCTTCCGTTGGAAGTGTAGGAGTTTGTTCAAGCTTGTAATCTGGTTATTATGAATAAAAGTTTTCTTGGCTCTCTTTTCCTCCTTCGTTGTTCCTTCATGTTACTCTCATAACATGGAGGGATTGAAGGAGGATTTTAATGGGGCCTTTCTATCAAAAAAAAAAAAAAAACCACAATAAAAGAACACGAGTATCCAGTAAAAAATGTTAGCACGAAAGGCAAACCAACTTGTATTGAAACAAGATAATGCATCCTGGAAAAAATCATAAGCAAAAAGCAAACTCTTATATGAAACATTGCTTGATAAAGAAGTATTCAATAAAAGACTTTTTACTCAGCAATGAATCATGCGACTTTTATGCACACTAACAAAGAAATAAGATCAGAGGCAGATCCAACACAAATAAGAAAGTAAGATCATCATTATGGTGTTAGAAGGCAAAAGAAACCATACCAAGGTATTGCTTACATAAAAGTTTTAAAAGAGACAGTATAATAGGCCCAAAATCAAGTAGTTGATGCCAGTGTGACTAACCCGAAGCAATTTCCAAATTGAGATATGTGACATCCATATCAAATTCTCTACATACTAAATTGAGGATATTGGTCAATGAGGCCAGGTGAAACATAAGTAAGTCAAACCTAGTACCTCTTTTATAAGGTAAAGTGAATGCTAGATATGAAGCTCATTTTGAAACTGTTACAGAATTATAGGCTAAAACTTAGGATTAATATATATTTATATAATGTAGGATATTAATTTACATATTATAGGACCTTTGTACTTGTATATATAGCCATAACGTTGAAGAATAAAGCTAAGAGAAAGTATTCCATTTTAGAATTCTACGTGTTAAAAGTTGAATATAGAGCTACAGCCATATCTATGTGGAATCCTTTGGGTATATCAGCTCCACAATTAAGTATAAATTAAGGTCAATACCTGCAAAACTATGGTGTGATAATCAAGTTGCGCTTCACATTGCTTCTAATCCAATTTTTCATGAACGAAAAAAAAACACATTGAGATTGATTGTCATTTCACTCGTAAAAAGACTTAACAAGGTTTAGTTACTACCGATTATGTGAAAACTGGAGAAAAATTAAGAGATTATTTCACAAAAACTCTTAACAGGGTCCGGATTGATTATCTATGTAAAAGTTTATTTCATAAGAATAAAAACAAAATGTGATCTCACGATCCAGGTAAAAGTTGAATATAGAGCTATCGTCATGTCTGTGTGAAATCATATGGGTATATCAACTCCTCAATGAAGTAAGAAATAAGGTTAGCACCTGCAAAGCTACGGTGTGATAATCAAATTGCATTTCATATTGTTTCTAATCTAGTCTTTCATGAACGAACAAAACACATTGAAGTTGATTGTCATTTCATTCTCAAAAAGATTCAACAAAGTTTAATTACTAGGAGATATTTTCACAAAAACTCTTAATGGGACCTCGATTAATTATCTATGTAACAAGTTGGGCACAACAATCATCTATGCTCCAACTTGAAGGGGAGTGAAACAAATTTCTAGGCTAAATCTTAGGATTAATATATATTGTATTAATGTACGACATTACTTTACATATTATATGACCTTTATACTTGTATATATACCCATAATTTTGATGAATAAAGAAAAGAGTATTCTATTTCACAACTCTACAGAAACAAAGTGAACCATATTCCATCCAAAAAGGCCAAGGGCAGTAATACTAGACCAGCGTAAATTCATCCTTGCCAGTTGCCAACAATATTTTTACCAGATAGAACTTTGTGACGGACATTTTCAGTTTTGAAATGATTTTGGGTGCTCTAGCATACAATCGATCTTTAGAAGAAATTACTTCCACTACTATGGGAGTATGCCTTTTTTTGCAATTAGCCAAGAAAATGGTTCTTACAGCTCAAAGTCTAGACAATGCAAAAATTATCTAGCCAACAGAGGTTCTTCCTTTAGCATGATAATCGAGTTCTTTTTTAATTTTCAGAAGTTTTAAATACAATGCAAGCAAATTAAAACTATAGCATAACTGCTGGCTCAGATATATTAATAAGGTACCTTCATTGTTCAAATGTTACTTCAGTAGAAATTTAATCAGAGTGTTTAAGGAACTTTTTAAGGAATTCGAACAAAAATACCTTCCCAATATTGTGTGATGAGTAAAGCTGGAGCAAACGCATGCAGAAATCAATTACAGCAGCCGTTTCCCGAGACTCCAGGTAGGAAATTTGTCCATCCACCCAGTCAACAATGAATTTGAGTAGCAGGTATACAACTGCAGACTATGCAATAATTTGAAATTAGTACAAGTACTCTTTGTTTCTAATGAAGATAAGTTGTGTAGGTTAAACAGGAATAAGAAAAAGCAGAAGCAATTCACTGCAAATGAAGTCATCAGATGGCAAAATGCTGAGATCTGAAGAAGTGTATAACAACATTCTAAATCTATGTTACAATGATTCCTCATTTTTCTTGAAAGTACTCATCTATGACACCCATGTTTTTTTTTATAAGAATTGGAGGTCTCATTAAAAAACCCTTTCATAATAGTCAATATACCATAAAGGTAGACTGATAAAAAGAGGAAGGAGGAAAAGAGTAACTCGATTTTTTATTAGAAAAAGGGTTTAAATCAACCCACCAACATACAACCAAGTCATAAAAAAGACACATCATTACAAGAATCAAACCACCTAGACTAAACCAAATTTATTCCCTAAGATCAGCCAATACCTTTTTTTGCTAACTCATCCACCTCCCAATTAGCGCTTCTCTGGATAAGACGAAGTATCACCTCTTGACTCATTACAAAAGACACAATCTCCCTAACAATTGACTCAAAACAAGTGGGACACGAAGCAGGGTTCTTAATCCACTCCAAAGCATTCCTGCAATCACTTTCCAGAATCAAGCGACCCTTTGACCCCCACTCTGACGATAAGAAGAACAGTAACCCAGCTCTGATTGCCTTCAATTCAGCCCTTTTACCCCCACTAGACACCCATGTTAAATACATATGTAGACAGATATTTTGATATGAGCCTCCAAATAAATTTTAGAACTGAAAAAAAAATTCAACATACCCATGTTGGACACGTACCTATACCAAAAACTAATATCCTAGTCCGAGTAACATAGTTCTAAAGTAATTGCACTCAAATGATATAAACTTGGCCCAAACAAGGTTTCACAAACACAGATAGACAAACTGCAGCCATTTAGCTACAATAATCTGGAGTTGCAGTAGATGATTTCTGTAACTAGCCAATTAATTATAAGACAACTGCCTCAGTGAGACAATACTGCAGTTTCAGGATAAAACATGTTTCAAAAGATGATCTACGAAAAAGAATATGAAAGGATAGAATTACGTAATACCTCATCCTTGTAAACTTCAAGAAGATGTAGCACAGGGTTCATCACAGAGATACCAATCTCATACATTGCTCTTTGTCTTCTAGGTCCTGCAGCACTGGCAGCTCCACGAAGCCTCTCCAATAAGCAACTAACCTGCATAATATCCATTATTTATATGAAAAACTATTCCAAGTGATTAAATAATTAATAAGATTTTGCAATTAATTTTTAATATCCTTACCGACATGATGATATCCGGTTGGTGTGCAACACTTTTAAGATCACTTCTACTAGATAGCTCCACCAGATACGTTGTCATATGAACCGTGAGACCCTTTACATATCTTTGAAAACAATGAGAGGAAATAACCCCATTAGAAGCTGAAGTTCAAAAGGGCAAAGGGTAACCCCCCCCCCCAACAAAAATAAAAAAAAAAAGACTTACTGATTTGCGGCCTCTGAATTCCTAAGTCCAGAAGCTGAGAGAACAAGGGTCTGAGCCAGTGAGCGCTGGAACAGGAAAAATAATCATTATAATACAGGAATATGAGCAATGACATGTATAGTACAATGAGCTTATATAGCATATTCTTACCTGATTGGCAGAACTCAACAAAAACAAACTTTTCTCATTTGTAAAAGCATTCGCTAGAGTACGCCATGACTCCTACAAAACATAGATTAAAACAAACTAGCTCAAGTTAACAATGATTTTACATAATAAATGCAGGTAATGAGACCGGAGATTTTCTTAAGAGTAGCTATAACACTAGATTCATCAATTAAGTAGGAATATGAAGATATACAAATAAGTTTGACTTAATATTCAACATAAACCAGTTGAACTTAATATTCAACAAAACCCTATTTTGTAGAAGAAAACAAAGAACGATGTGAGAAACGGGCAACTACAAATTTATAATAGGACTTGAAATAAATGTGAAAGTGAACTCCAATGCTATGACACAGGACTGATATAGACTATAGCTAATACATCTCAAAGGTATAAATGAAATCACTAGGGACCCACCAGTGAGACAAGCTGATAACAAATAGTTTTCCGGCGAACTAGGGTGTGAAGCAGATGGTGGCAAGTAAGACCCTGTGTAAAGAGGGAGGGAAAATAAAACAATCATGAATCATTTAGTTCATTGATAACATTTTATAAAAATAACCAGGAAGAGAATGGAGGTAGCACCAGATAGACATTACAAAAGACAAGAAAGCTTTACAAGTTTAAATATTATACCTGCAAATCCTTCTCCCCTGGGTATGACATCAATGTCATCACAGAGATGCGGACAATAATGTCAAGAACAACTTGTCCCTGACTATGTTCTCCGAAAAAACTTAATAAAGCTTTTTTAGAGTTCATTGGCTGATGCTGCTGATAATCATTACTAAGGCAGTTAGTTTCTTCGAGAGGCATTAGGTATGTATGAGACCATCTTGCAAGAAACCATATGACAGCCTATACACAAAATTAAGAAAACCAAGTAAGAGGGACAATGGTCAAGGTAACTAGAAAAGAAGGGCTAGGATGCTAGAGAGAAAATATTACCTCCATAAGCCGAGGACTGAAAACTGTTGCTCTTACTTCTGGATCCATGCTCTGCTCAGCAAACCTTATAATTGAACTGCATCAAATGAAAAAGACCATTGAAAACAACTATTTCAAACTGAAAATAATGAGTACAATTTAGATAAAATCAACACACTTCTATGAGAAAGAAATTAAAAGAAAGCCAAGTTGTACCCTGAGAGAACAACAACAGGATGCTTTTCTGCTTCTACAATGTCAACAAAATGAATTTGTATGGCAGTTGGTACCTAAGTCAAATAACAAAACTAGAGTCAGATTCCATGTAAGACAAATTCTTGTTTAAAATAAATAAGCTTAGAAATATAAACATAAAACATCACATTAAATACTGCCAAAAACACCTTAAACTTCATGGGGGAAAGATAGACAGGCAGTCAGGCACCTTTCTCCAAGAAGAATATGAAACATGAAATGTAAAACCAAGGGACCCACCCAGCACTCAATTAGCTATACTGACTTTAACATCACACATAATAACAAGAAAAGTCATTCATCGCTGCTTACTGTATGACAAAGACTAACATGTAGCAAATAAATCAAATTAAATTGTTCAACTAAAGCTACTACCTCCATAACTGCTGAGAAATTCAACAAGGAAATCAATTTGACAAAAGTTGATATACTCTATCAATAACAATAATAATGATAACACTTAATTTTTTTTATAGGAATTGAAGGCCTCGTTAAAAACCCCCTTCTTGATTAATGGAGCTTGAAAGGAAGCTCCTTAATCATCGAAAGGAGGAAAAGAGTGCCTTAGAAATTTTATTAATATTGAAAAATTACATAAGATTTAACCATTACACCAAACTGCAATACATAAAACTTAAAAACTCCTCCAACCACATAAACCTGCTCACTGGAACAGAAAAACCACAGGTGTATCCTTACAATCAACCTATCCCTTTCTTTGCTAAACTGTCTGCCTCCCCATTATACGCCCTTGGAATCAACCTAACTGATTGTTAACTTTAGGTGGCTAAAGGGTTTTTTATTGTCAAAGTAGCTACCTAACGTTTTTTTTTTTTATAGAAGAATAGGCCTCATTAAAAAACCCCTTCATACCCTCCATGTTATATTAGTAACATGAAGGACATTGGAAGGAGGAAAAGAGTGCCTATTACTTTTATTAATCTGAACAATAATACATTGCCAGTCCCTAACATCCTGCTGAAATACCATAACACTAATTACATAAGACTGAAAACAAACACCCTACATAAATGAAAACGTTTCCTACACCTTAACATACCAAATACAAAGCCTATTAATCAACCTATACCCTCTTTAACTAATTTGTCCGCTTCCCAGTTGGCAGCCCTCAAGATATGCCTTAACGTAATATCCTTCCCTTCCATTATAGAGACAAAATCCTTCACCAAGGATTGAAACATAGGGGTGTTTAATTCCGGATTCTTGATCCACTTCAGTGCAATACTTGAATACAATTCTAAAATAATCCTCTGATTAAGAACAGATCCTGAATCATTCAGAAGACACAACCCCCACTTTATCGCCAATAATTCTGCCATAATAGGAGGTCCACCCCCAACTTTATCTGAGAACCATTGAAGCAACACACCACTGCTGTCCCTAATCAGTCCACCTATACCACCTGTATCACATCCTTCACCATCGCTCCATCAACATTAATCTTTATGAACCCATCTGGAGGAGGAACCCAGCAAGTTGGATGGGAACTTCCTTTTTCCTGTCTACCAACCGAATCAGCAAGTTTTAAATCACCCACTAGGGAGTCAAAAGGGATATGCACATCGTTGAATCTAGCAGCAAACCAAAAAATTATTCTAAATCGAGCAATAAAGAACAACATCACCACATCCACCTTTCCTTTCTGAAAGATAACCTCATTCCTGCATTTCCAAACCGTCCACAACACCAACCTTGGAATAAATTTCCAAATACTGGAATTTGGAAGTAGATCATCCCATAGAATGATAAAGTCAAAGATGTTCTTTGGAATCACCAAAGAAACATTCCACAAATTCGAAAATCTAGACCACAGTCCCCATACTACCTCACAATGCAGAAAAAGATGTGAAATTGTTTCCTCAAACCTACGAACAAAGGGATCATCAATCCCAGCCACTCCTCGCTTCAACAATTCCTCCTTAACTGCCACTCTCTGATGAGCAACTTGCCAAATGAAAGTTTCGACACGAGGAGGTGCTAGTCCTACCCAAATATGTCTTTCCCAAGTATCATGATTTCCCTCAATACCATCAGTATCAAAGAAATTCTTGATACATGACTTGGCTGAAAAACAACCCTCTCCATTCCCTAACCATATCCAGCAGTCTTACTCATTGAGAGACAGTGAGATATTATTCAACAAATAAATCAGCTGTAGCCATTGATCAACCTCCTAATCCACCAGATTTCTTCTCATTTGAATATCCCACACCCAGCCTGCAGCATTGTTCACCCTAAACTCCACCACTTTACCCATTTTATTATTCGAAATAGCATATAATCTAGGGAACAGATCTTTGAGGGGTACTTCTCCCAACCATACATCATGCCAAAACTCCACAGATCGTCCATTTCCAGTTTTCAAACGCAAATTTTTCATCTCCCAACACGAGGAGCTGCCTAACATTTTAAAAATTACCATTTTAAGGTCAATTTTGTCACATATGTTAAAAAAATCAGTCAACCAATCAAAATGTGAGTTTGTGACACACGTCACATTTATAAATTTTTGAAAATTTTATTTTAAAAAAATTAAAACTATTATTTTAAAAAAAATCTCAAAAATCCCAAAAAAAAACCTATAATCCCAAAGCTCATTACTGCTGACGAAAGTCCATCCACCCGTTGTCGGACCACCACTGTCGGTCATCCCTTTGTCATCGCCCCAATCCCTAAATTCCTAAATTCTCAATACCTAATACCAAAGCCTATTACCACCACCGGCATTGTAGAACGCCCACTCATCCATCGTCAGACCCCACTGTCGATCATCCCCTTTACCGTCACCTCAATCCTCTAAATCCCTAAACTTAAATCCCTAAATCTTCATAAACCTTAAATCCTAAATTCTCAATACCCAAATCTCTAATCTTAAAGTCTATTACAACCGCTGGCCACCACCGCCAAATACCCACCAATCCTCCGACCCCAACTGCTTGCCATATCCCTTATCCTCACCCAAATACCCTAAATCCATAAACTTAAGTAGGGAATTAGGATTTTAGAGATTTAGGAATTAGGGTTTATGAATGTTAGGATGTTATGTGAAAAACAGAAAAATTTAGAGTTTTTTTATTTTATGAATTTTATTTTTTTAAAAATTAAAGAAAAGTAAAAATTAGGCCAAGTGTCATACACCAATTAGTTGACGGAACTGACATTAAAATGATAACTTTAAAAACGTTAGGCACCTACTTTGACCCAAAAAAAAACTTTAAGCACCTAAAATTAACAAGAGGTATAGTTTAGGCACTTATTTTTCGATTAAGTCTAATAGTAAATTAATAATAACAACAACAATGAATACAAAATTTCAAGCCACAAAAGCTTAAAAGTGAAATGAGTAAAGACATTATGCACACACATACACAAATGATAGATACTCTTTCATAACAAAGGTTTGGAATATATAGAAAAGAAATAAAAATTACCAAAGGTGTTTCTCCCTCCCCTTCATCAGCAAGTACATGTCCAGTTATTAATAATAGTGAGTAAAGTTCTTCCAAAGTTTCAGTAGGATCAATAATGCCTCTTCCCTGCACGCAAACAAGTAACTTAAAAAATGAGGAAAAATGCAAATAGATACGTGCGACAACATCTCAATAATCAATGAAATATGCAGGGGATTTTTTTTTTTTTTTTGAGGGAGGATATTTGAGAAAGAGAAGAAGTCAAGATAACAGAAAAAACATGAGAGAGAGAGAGATTTCGAAAGGCAAGTTTTCTGTAGGCAAAGTCAGTGAAGTCCAAGGAGGAGGTCCATGGTCAGCGTTCGTTGATAATCTCAGTAGGAGAGTGCTTCGAACTGCAATATGGAAACGTTTTAGTTATCATGGCAAAGTTATTAAGGTGTTCATTCCTTTTATTAATAAGAGACCGAAATATAAAGTGTGTACTTTTGCATTTGTTCATTTTGCAAGTAAGGAGGATTTGCACAATGCAGTGGATAAGATGAACAATGTTATGATGGATAGGAGAAGAATAACAGTGGTAGTAGCAAAATATGAGAAGGTATATGGGTCGAGGAGTCGGGTAGGTGTTAGAAGAGAGGGTGCTGATAGTGCTGAAGGAGGAGGGGTGAAGGGAGGAATGCATCCATCTTCAGTGGAAGTGGTGGGGAAGACGGATCTGTTAAAAAGGTTTCTTGATGGAAGGACGTATAAAGAGACGCTAGTAGGGGTGAACAAAGATCAAGAGGGTGTTAAACAGAACAATCATAGTATCTTGAAGGAGGTTAGAAAGCCTTTGGAATTTTTTATGCCGGTGGAGGAAAGGGTTTGGCTGAAATCATCCCTGACTGGGATTCACAAGGCACTTTTTGAAGTGGAGTTCGTGCAAAAGGCCATTTGGAATGATGGTTTCAAAGCTAAGGTGATAAGGTGGGGTTTTGCAAAGAACGCTTGCCTGGTAGTTTTTCCGTCGGAGATGGAGATGAAAACTGCGCTAGAAGAGAGGTGGGATGCTTTGTCTTTCTGGTTTGAAAGACTGGAACCTGTTTCGGATGATGGGATTATTCCCTTAGCTTATTGTGCGATCTCCATGATAGGAGTGCCTCTAAACTGTTGGTCAGTTCCTTTCTTTTCCAGTTTGGCATCCAGATGGGGCAAGCTAGTGAAGATTAAGGAAGAAACTGCTCAAAGAGCGGATTGTAGAGTTGCTCAGATGCTGCTTAGGGTCCAAAGTCCATTTGATATTCCAGAACATGTTATTATTAATACGTATGGGAGGAAGTTTTGTACCAAAATAAAGGTTGAATGTTCTGAGGATTTTTTCCCTGAATTAACAGACTTGGTGGGAGATGATATTTCTGAAGAAGATCCATGGAAAGATAATTCTTCGGATTGGAGCCAGGAAAATATTCATTCGAGACAGGTAGAACAAGTGGGATTTCAGGATTTGTCAGATTCACAAGAAAGGGTGGAGGCATGGGTACAAGATTCCCCACTACGAAAAAGCTCAGATTTTGAGGAGCGTTTGAATTTGAACAAAGATTCAAAAAATATGTCTTTTGTTGACTTATGTGAGGGTTTGACAGCTGTAGGAGCTGTCCCCACCCACCAGAATGAGCCAGGAAATTCAAACGAAGGCAGAGGTGATTTTATAGAGCTTGACAATGTTGACCGGGATAATGGGCTGCAAACAGGCCTGCAAACTATGGGGAAGAATGGGCTGGATAAAAAGGGTATTAGAACTAGTATTGTTTCTCATGGTTCAGCATCAAATAATATAGCAGAGAAGTTTCAGCCTGCTGTTCAGTCAGGGACTGTCCTCTCGTCCCAACCCAGAATTTCCAGCAAGAATGTTGCCGTCAGTAAATCGGAAAGAGGATTATGTAATCATGTCTATTCGAGATCAAGAAGGGGGGGAGTGAAGAGTTGTGCTGGTACAACTTCAGATCATGTATGTCAAGATGAGATTGAGGGAGAGGTAGAGGCTTTAGAGTGTTGGAATGTGAGTAAGTTAATGGGAGTTACATTCAGAGGGGGGAAAAGCATTCATGAAAAAGGCAGTTTCCTCTGTAAAGGGGAGAGAGTTGAATGGGGGAAGTTAAGGGGATAAGCCTAATAAGGTTGTTGATTGAGAATGATGATTAATTGGAAGATAATGTCTTGGAATGTTAGGGGTTTGGGTAGGAGGGAAAAAACTAGAGTTGTTAGGAAATTTATTGATGAGAATAAACCTTTAATTTTATTTGTACAAGAGTCGAAATTGGAAGTCATGAGGAATTCTGTCCTGAGGAAAATGGGAGGAAAATTCTTAACAGGTTCGTTAGTTTCACCAGCTGAAGGTTCTGCTGGAGGAATAATAACATTATGGAATGAGAAAGAGTTTGTAGTGCAGCAAGAATTTACACAACAGAGATTCACGGCAATTATGGGCTCTTTTGAAGGGGATTCAGAGGCTTGCTGTTTTATAAATGTGTATGGTCCAAGTGTGGAGTCAGAAAAGGAGCAGTTTTTTAGAGAGCTTTTGGATTTTGTGGAGACTGTGAATGGCCCGGTCTGTTTAGGAGGGGATTTTAATGCAGTTCTAGCACATGAGGAGAAAGTAGGAGGTGCTGTAAATTCGGTTTCATTGGGATTATTCAGAGATTTTGTGTATAAAGCAAATGTGGTTGATTTACCGTTGTCAGGAGGTCGTTATACTTGGTGCAATAACAGGGAAGAACCTACGTATATCAGATTGGATCGTTTTCTGGTTAATCAGAGGTTCCTATCATTGTTTCCCAAGATTATTCAAACCTTACAGCCAAGGTCTGTTTCGGACCACAATATGATTCTGCTGGAAAATTGTGAAATTAATTGGGGTCACAAACCATTCAGGCTGTTTAATTATGTAATGGAAGAGGCTGGTTTTAGCAAGATGATGGAGGAGGAATTGCAAAATTTTCGAAAACAGGGAAAAAATAATGACATTACTAATCTGTTGATGGGAGTCAAAGGGGCGGTCAAAGATGGTCTAGTAAAAGTTATCTTCAGTTTCCTGCAAAGATTAACAGCCTTGAGAATGAAATTCAGGCGATGGAATTGGATTTACAAAAAGGTAGTTCTTTGGTTTCTATGAAGGTTTTAGTGGAAGCGAAGAAAGAATTATGGGATTTGTACAAGAAAGAAGAATCGATTTGGTTGCAGAAATCAAGAATGAAGTGGGGTTTGGAAGGAGATAAGAATACAAGATTTTTCCACCAAATTGCAGGAGCGAGAGGAAGGATGAATAGGATCAAGTCTCTAATTGTGAACAGTGATGTTATTTCGGATCCTATTTTACTTAAAAAAATCAGTTAAGGATTTTTTCCAAGGGGTGTTCAACCAAAACGATACCTTGGTTGTGGAGGAATTGGATTTGGAGTTTTTAAAACTTTCATTAGATCAAAACAGGGCTCTTGAAAATACATTTTCTGAAGAAGAAATTTGGGAAGCAATTGTGCATTCGGACAGCAATAAAGCACCAGGCCCAGATGGTATGAATTTAGGGTTTTTCAAGAAGTTTTGGGGAAATTTGAAAGAAGACTTGGTGCTGTTTTTTAGAGAATTTCATCGAGGGAAGGTATGGGACTCGGAGGTAAACCATTCTTTTATCTCTCTCATTCCAAAGAGGGTGAATCCGGAGGAGCAACAAGATTTTAGGCCAATTAGCCTTGTTGGAGTATTATATAAAATTCTTTCTAAGGTTCTAGCTAGAAGGTTAAGCCTTTGTATAAATGAAATTATTAGCCCTTCGCAATTTGCGTTTATACCGGGAAGACAGATTATGGACTGCTCGTTTATTGCAAATGAGGGTATCGATTATTGGAGGAAAAAGGGGTTAAAGGGGGTCGTATTTAAAGTAGATTTTAAAAGAGCTTATGATTCTGTGGATTGGGCTATATTGATGAAAATAATGTGCAAAATGGGGTTCGGGGATAAGTGGTCTTCGTGGATTAATCAATGCGTTTCAACAACCACAATTTCAGTTCTCGTTAATGGGTCACCGACAGAAAAATTTAAAACAGCAAGAGGTCTCCGACAAGGCTGTTCATTATCTCCAATGTTGTTTAATTTGGTTGGAGAGTTGCTTCATTTGATGTTGGCTAAGGCTGTTCAAGAGAGGTTGTTTATGCTATCACATTTGCAATTTGCGGATGACCTAATTATCTTTAGCAAGGCTACTGTTCGAGACTTGAAGAATGTCAGAAGGGTGCTGTTAATTTTTGAATTGATGACAGGTTTGCAATTGAATTTATCTAAGAGTAAAATCTTCGGTATTAATGTGGATCCAGATGAGTTAGCAAGTTGGGCAGTGGAAATTGGCTGCACAGTGGGACTTTTTCCATCAGAATATTTAGGATTACCCTTGGGATCTAAGAGGAATTCTGCAGTATTGTGGGAACCAATAGTCCAGAGATTTTATTCTAAATTGGCTGGTTGAAAGGCTAATTCCTTATCTCTAGCTGGTAGGGTAGTTTTAGTGAAGTCAGTTTTGTGCTCTCTTCCGACTTATTTTCTCTCCCTTTTTAGAATTCCAATTGGTGTGGTTAAGAGATTGAATTCTATAATGGCAGCCTTCCTTTGGGGCGGTTCGGCAGATAAGAGGAATATTCATTGGCTGAATTGGAAGTTAGTATGCAAGCCGAAGAGGTTGGGGGGTTTGGGAATTCCGAATTTGGCACTTCTAAATAGAGCTCTTTTGGGTAAATGGGTATGGAAATTTGCATCAGAGAAGAATTCGTGGTGAAAAAAAGTTGTGTGTTGCATGTATAATTTAGATTTTAATACATGCTTAATTATGAATTCTTTGTCTAATCGGGCATCTTGGATTTGGAAAGGAATAATTAATAATTTCTTTTCTAATGATGATTTTGGGGAATGTATAAGGAATAATTTGTGTTTGAAGATGGGGAATGGAGAGACAGTGCAATTTTGGCATGATTCTTAGTTGGGTTCGTTCCCTTTAAAAGTTAGGTTCCCAAGGATCTTTGTTCTATCACTGAATAAAGGGGGCAAAGTTGCAGAATTCATGGAAAATTCTTCTTCAGGGTGCTTCTGGGACATTAAATTAAGGAGGAATTTGGTGAACTGGGAGGTTGAACAGTGGATGCAGCTTATGTCCTTGTTGAATTCTAACTCTCTATCATCTTTGCAAGATGACTGTTGGGTCTGGACAGGGAATGGGGAGGGTTGTTTTTCAGCTAAATCTTGTGTGAAGTGCTATTTTGATTGGGCTGGTAATGAGGAAGATGATGGTACTTGGGACAATATTGTATGGACAGGGGTTGCTCCTCCTCGAGTCGAAACTTTTGTTTGGCAGGCTGCTCATCAGAGAGTGGCAGTTAGAGAGGAATTGATAAAGCGAAGAGTTTCAGGGATTGAAGACTCGTTATGTCCTTTGTGTGGTAAGTGTGTGGAGTCGGTTTCTCACCTATTTGTTCATTGTGAGGTTGTCAGCGGCCTGTGGTATAGATTCTTGTCATCTTGGAATGTATCTTTTGTGCCACCTCAGACTTTGTTGGATTTCATAATTGTTTGGAATGATTTAATCCCGAAATCCACCATTTGGAAGTTCATCCCTAGGGCGGTGCTTTGGACGGTTTGGAAGTGTAGAAATGATATTATTTTTGGGAAAGGAAAGGTGGATGGCCCGTTATTGTTCTTCCTTGTTCGTTTTAGAATTGCAACATGGTTTGTCGCGAGATTCAATGATGTGCAAATAAATTTTGATTCTCTAGTGGGTGATATTAAAATAGTTGATTTGGGGGTAAGAATGAAGAAGGATTCTATTTCTTCCTCGTGTTGGACTGCTCCTCCCTTGGGTTACGTTAAATTAAATGTTGATGGTGCGATGTCTAAGGAGTGGGATAAAGGAGGCATTGGTGGATTATTAAGGGATGCTCAAGGGTTGCAGCAGGATTCGTTTTCCGAAAGGATTGGGGGGGGTCCTCCTATTCTTTCAGAGCTATTAGCTATAAAAAGAGGGCTGATGTTTATTGAGGAGAAATCTTTGGTTTCATTTCCAAGGGTCATATTGGAATCAGATTCCCTTAATGCACTGAAATGGATTAAAAATCCGGGTGTATGTACTCCTATGTTCCAGCCGTTGGTGAAAGACATTGCTGCATTAGTGGAGAGTAGAGGGGTAATTGTTAGGCATATTTTGAGAGCTGCTAATTGTGAAGCGGATAAACTAGCTAAAGAAGGAATAGGATGAATATTAGATTATTGGCTAGGTTGCACAATTATTGAGCTGGTTTTTATGTTCTGTGTTTGGTTTTTAAGTTTTATGTTGTAACAGAACTTCTTAGGATGGATATGTATTATTCTGGTATTAATGAATTTTTAGGCACTCTTTTCCTCCTTCCCATGCCCTTCATGTTATTGTTGTAACATGGAGGTCAAGAAGGGGGTTTTTAACGAGGCCTATCCAATTTCTATAAAAAAAAATATGCAGGGGAAATCAGATAGTTTCTTTTTTTTCTTCTGTGAATGTGAAAGGAGCACCTGATGAAGCCGTGCAAAACGTTCAGAAAACAATCCTGTGAGCAAAGGAATTGTGGCATCAATTGCTGCTCTTGCAATGAGAGCATAAGAACTTAATCTTTCATCCATTGCTGCAAGGAAATGCAATGACAATGTTGAATGGTATTCATACACTCCGAACATGAGTTAAGAAAGAAATAGATGATAATAATTATCATGGTTTCTTTAGCATGTGTTATATATATATATATATATATATAATGATAAAAACAATGAAAGTCACTTTCCTTACCAGAAATAGAAGCCTGTAGATAGTCAGAATCACCATCATCATTTGCTACTGAAGCAGAAGCTACTATATCAACCAAAAAAAGGCAATGTTACATTCACAGGTAACAGAACTAACTGTTGAATGACTAGCACTGTAGTGAAGCAATACAGTCAGTAAATTACTATGATTACCTTTTAGCTCAGACTCTACGATCATGGCAAAGAGATTTGCAGCAGCATGTTTCCCTTCCGGAGGAAGCAATGCATCATCACCATTACCATCAGTAGGCTGACAAGTTGTAAAATACATTTTATTTCAATGGTCACCACTAAATGAAGATAAGAAATATATATTCACACTAGACCAGTCAATTCTTCCAAATCTGAGAAACCCAAATAACCCACCCAAACCCGATCCAACTCAATTTGACCTGAAAGGTTTGAACCTGATACAATCCAAAAGAAAAAGATGACCGAACTTGAATAACCAAAATCAGTTGAACTTCAATAACCCGAGTGTCACCCAAATGGCCCAAGCCCAAAATGATTCAAATATGAAAATGACTCAAAACAAACATGAACCAAACACAAAATGACCCAGAACCAAAAAGGATCCAAAAATTTTAAGATTTATCCTGAAATGGCCCAAATACCCCATTGATATGTCTTATTTGCACTAAATAATGAACTTGAAGAAACTAAATAAATTGATAGATTAGCTTAAGGCAACAACATCTAAATGTTCTACCAAGCTTAAACAACATACCACAAGTAGAATAGTCCATGTATCTAACAAGATATCTCGGGCCTCCCAGCTCCAAGTCTCCTCATCAGTGTTATTAGTCATCAGAACTTTAACAACTTCACACATCAAGGTGGACAGCAAGGTAAGAGTACCATAAGGCCTGAGCAGCAAAGCAATAAGGCAAAATTGTTCCAGACTACACAAAGAATTAAGTAAAACAAAAAAATGGATAGCATCATATATATATACCTTATGGATTTCAAGAGTTGATCAAACACAAAAGGAGTCGTAGCAGTTGCAATAGATAGCAATGCACGGCAACCATCAAGCATTTCACTGGATAATACAATAGAAATCTTGTCACTTCAAGGCAAGCTCATAGACATAGAAGTAAATGTTCAACAGAAGAGCAAATATGGAAAAACAACCTTTCACTTTTCCCCTCTTCGATGCCTTTTGAAACAACATCAGGAGGATCTATCCACTGTAATATACCAGATAGCAATTGTAGCAAATGATTCTCTTGCATTTTCCCGTTATCTAAAATTATTTTAAAAAATATTGGTTAAAACTTTAGATCTGAGGACCCTTTCTAATACGAAATAAGAAGGTAAACAAACTTCATATTCAATGATCTTAGTAAACTCATAAAAGAGAATTTATTTTCATAAGCAAAGTGATGGTTCATTAAAAAGGAGATTGAGACAGTGAGTCGCCACTAACTCAATCTTTTTTTTTTATAGAAATAGGAGACCTCGTTAAAAACCTCCCTCATAGATAACCCTTTCCTAACAAAAAGGATCAAGTAGTGGAGGGAGGAAAAGAGTGCCTCATTTTATTACTATACCAGAATTACATAAGACTTAACAATTACACCAGAAGAGATTACATAAGACTTAACAACTTCACCTACTTCAAAATCCTACTAACCACAGAATAAAAAACATACAACTAAAATCATACAATCAACCAATCTCCTTCTTTGCTAAACTATCTGCCTCCCCATTACAAGCCCTTGGAATCAACCTAATTAACACCACCTTTTCAGAAAGGATCAACAAAATTTCTTTAACTAGAGGCAAGATGAAAACTGGAGCCAAAGACGGGTAATGGATCCACTCCACTGCTGACTTACAATCACTCTCGACAACCAACCTACTAACCGCAGACCAACGTGAAGCCAAAAAAATTTCAATGCCTCTTTTAATAGCCTTTAATTCAGCAACTGGTGGGGGACCTTGACCAATATTCTCTGAAAAAGTCAGAAGAGTGCAGTTATTCCAGTCCCTTAAAATGCCTCCAATACCTCCAACCGAGTCATTTAACCTCACAGCTCCATCAACATTCATCTTCAAGAAATCAACAGGAGGGGGAGCCAACAAATCACAGAATAATCCTTAGGTTTAGGAACAGAAATACCATCAGCAAGTGATGGATCCCCAATAAGCAGATCCTCCAGTATAGGGAATTTAGGATACTTTGCTAGGAACCATTTAAATAGCCTAAATCTCACAATGAAAAAGAGAGACAGCCTATCAAGGTTTAATCCTTCAAACACAATCGCATTCCTTGCTTTCCAAATAGACCAAAAAACGACTCCCGGTATAAACTTCCAAATCAATGAATTCACCCTCAAACTCCCCCACGAGTTAAGTAAAGAAGGAGGGTCTTGTGGTAACACTATAGATAAATCCCATAAACTTACCACTTTATTCCATAATTCCCAAACTACAAAACACGTAATAAACAAGTGTTGCACTGATTCCTCATGTTCCTTGCAAAAAGGACAGAGGATATCTTCTTCTAAGGACATTCCTCTTTTCGCTAACTCCACTTTAACTGCAATTTTCTGATGAGCTAACTGCCAAATGAAAGCTTCTACACGAGGCGGGGACAAACCCAACCACACCCCTTTTGACCACAAATCACTACCCCCAGCTTCCTTTCCAAGAGCTTTCCTGCACGATTTTACTGAGAATAACCCATCACCACTTGCAGACCAAGAAAGAAAATCTTCAACCGAATCTGAGTTTTATATCCTTTAATTTCACCATCAAATCCATCCATTGATCCAATTCCCAATCAGACAAATTCCTCCTAGTAAGAATGTTCCACTCCCAACCATTCAACTCAAAACTTCCAAATTCAGCAACCTTACCCCATTTGTTAGTAGAGAGTGCAAAAATTCTAGAGAAAAGATTTTTTAAAGGAACCTCATCCACCCATGGATCAATCCAAAATGATATGGACTTTCCATTGCCTACCAATAACTCAATCTTTTTCTCTCCAGAAAACGCTCTCCTTGGATAAATCTATTATTTGTACAAGGTTTTAAGCCTGAATCAAAATTTAACCTTTAACTTAGCAACAAAGTTAAATCTAAAAGTGTTGATCATTGGAACCAATCACCAGTGTCCTTAAAGAGGAGAATGCTATTTGTGACAATTTCAAGATAAAACAAGGGGAGATTTCTTATCTCACAATTTCAGGTGGTTCTAGTCAAACTGCTCAGCTTCAGCAAGACAAAAAGCCCTTCAACATAAGGAATCTGCTATGTCGGCATACCATAATTTCATTGTTTTCAATTTCAAGCAATTATTAATACACTGTCATTATAATTCCACAGCAACAAGTACACAAAACAACTAATGGTTATAAAATATATACTTCAAGGGATTCATCAAGCAATTAGAACAAATATTATACCAAAGAAGAAACAAATATGGATTTAATACAAAAATACAAATAGAACATATAACAATAAACTTAAAGGTATTAAATGAAACACATACCAGAAGGAAATATAGTTCCTGTCAGAGAGCATAACTGTACAATTAGTTTTCGAGCTGAGACTGCAATAGGGCAGTCAATCCAGTAACCTTCACGGGAAAACTTCCGTCTAAGAGCTGCATATAAGCTGAGCAGCCAGCTAACATGTCCACTTGAGATTAAAACATCAAACCATGCAGGCCCAGGCTACATAAAAATTGCACCAAAAACAATAATCAACAAGATTTGTGCAAGTAAATTATTCAACTGCAGCATCTACAAACACCCCATCTCTTTGTGAAAGGCCAGAAGTATCGTATATTTGGTTGATCTCTGGGCAGGTATTCTCCTATTTTGAAGTCTCCAAAGTATTACAAATGGCCATACATTCATGTTATATTCAATGAAGATGTAATAATGGAATGTTTCCACGTTAGCTTTCTTTCTTCTTCTTTTTTTTTTAAGGAGTGGGCTGCGAGCAGCAAAATCAGATACTCTAAATATGTCCATTACCTGCACTAAGACACATTCAGACCTCTTAGATGAAGCACTGTCATGTCTAACTCCAGCTGAAAAAACATCAATACCAGCTTTCATACTGGTCGTATCATTTCGAAACTCCCAGTTCAGAATTTGAAGCATGAGTCGCAATGCAGCAGTACAAACTTTAACCTCAGGTATCACAGAATTAGGTTCTATTATCTTGTTTGTGACGCTTAAAGCAGCATCCCGAGCCCAACAGTAGAACATCTATGAATCAAAACACAAGGGTAGGACAAGTAAACAAGTCAAGATAAAAAGGAATCTCTACATAAACAACAGCCAATTCTTTGATGGATAATATCAATAAATCGATAGTATCAATACAAGGTAGAAAGAGACTGAGGGAACCTTCAAATAGTTTAGCTCTAATGATGTCCGACACTGCTCATGAAATTCCCTAGGAAGACCCATGGCACTAGAAGTAGAAGGTGAAAATTCAGAAACCTAAAAGAGAAAAGGAAGTTGAGTGTAAAAATATAGTCAACATAGTGAAAGACAGAACAGAGGCTAATTAGAATCCTAAAAAGACATTGTATACCAAAGATTCCAAGAAATTCACTCCTATGAACTGTACATCAACCCCGTGAGCACCAAGAATGGCCTGATTAACCTGTAACCATGAAACTGTTAAGACATTCCAATCTATAACTGGTGACCTAAAGTGAGTTCCAAAACTTGAAAAGCTCAACAAAGTTAAAATTGTATGAGACAGTACTTATATACTAAATCACGTCCAGCTAATATGGTTAACATAAATAAGTTTATTATTTCACCCTCCAAAATGTTATTCAAGCTATAACAAAGAAGTGAAGGATAGAATCAAAACATGTATGATCTATCTCTTTTTAAAAGTAAGCAAGTTGGATAAATAAACAGAATCGTTTGAAAGATAACCCACTAAGTCAAATCACAACTACATCTACAGAAAGAATAATGATTACAGGACTCATACCTGATAAAAGAATGCCTCCTTCTCAGTCTCGGTAAAATCAAGCCTACAAATAAAACTTTCATTTAGGCATATAATGTTCCCAATATCTCGGAGCATATGTTGGAATTCAATAGCAATGTCATGCTTGTTACTTCAGCATGAGAAAACTTTTACTCCATGCTTTAATGATGAGAAGGTCAGAATAGCTAGTACAAAACGTTATCTTTAAGCTCCTGAATATGGAAGCTCATGCGACCTACCAGCCTCTTTTCATCAATTGAGCAGCCACAGAAGACACCTTTGCTAGGACATAGCCCTCTAGTAAACTAGCATGTTGCATAACAAAGCACAGACAGAAACTGCATAACAGAAACAGGGTTTACTTGAAAAATATGAAAAGCCCAAGAAACACAGCGAACAGAGGCAATTTAATTGAAAAATGCATACTTTTGTGCCTTGCTTAATGCTGAAACTACTCTGTTCTAATAATAACAATATTTTAGCAGAATGTAATCTTCAAATTTTTGAAGGTACCTAATCAAACTTCTCCTTTCTTCAGTGGAAAGAGAACTCCATTCTCTGATAGCTGCATCTCGAATGGCTGCAGCAGCCTGAAACCTGGCATTTGGCACCTGAGAATTTTCTGAATAATAAAGTGATTGTTAGTGAAATGTCAGAAGCTAACCGTCTAAACCATAATAACTACAGAAATCTCACCAGATTCAGTACAGAAGTTTTCAAGCTTATTGAACAAAGGTCAAATGACCATGACAACCAGTTAAAAGTACATCTCCAAAAGTGATCAATAACATTGTGAACCAGACAAGCAAGAGTATAATTCCTAGATGTTCCGTTGAAAATGAACAAAGCAGGCCATAACTTAAGAACAAACAAACAAACAAACAACAATTGTTGCTGCTACTGCTGCTATCCTTTGCGATAAGTTGGAAACATAAATGTCACTGTCGACCCCTAGAATCAATCTCAACAAGCTGAAACATGAGTGTATGATTGAAAAAACCTTCTATGATAAAAAAAAGCAAATGAATCAAACATTGCAATTCTATTCTCAGATAATCTTTCTGTTAATACATTTCATGGAGTACCTTTAACAATATTTTACATATAATAGAGTTTTTACCTAATAATCATAGGCCATCAACAGAATTAAACATTCACGGGATCCACATCCTTCCTTCCATCAATTACAGATGAAATTCTGAGCACCAAAATGATGTTGGATTGGATACAAAAGTGATAGATCTATTTTGAATGATTTTACATTCCATGGAACAGCCATATTAGAATCAGAGTTATGTTTCCACTATTTGCTTATTTCTTTGAAAAACAAAACGTCACTTTTTAGTGACTTTTTCAGGAAGCAAAAACTAAATACGATAAGAAGTGCATTGGTACATTGATATCTATATTCAGTTAGCTTAACTCACCAAGGATAAATCGACATGCCGTGTACGGTTGAGGAGACTGTGATAATGCCAATATTGTTGCCTCTGCCGCCGCTGGATTTATATGCATCTGTCCCAAAAACAAATGGAATCCAGTTAAGTGTTAAAAGAATCCAATCAAACTAGTAGAACAAACTTCACATTTTCAACTCGCAGATAAAACAAATATTAAATTTCAGTCACCCAGAAATAAAAGGCAAATAAATGATAGATTAATAAACGAAGAATATGAAGTAATGTAATAGACCATCTATACAGTTCAATCTTAAGTGAGTAAATGGTGAACCTGAATCGAAGCGCAAGCGACTTCGATGTGGTGCATGGTTGTTTGAAGCTGCCCCAAATCGGCGCCACCATCGGAAAACCCTTGCATCTCTACTGAGATTGTTGAGGAATAAAAGGATTTGAGATTGAAGCCAATGGAAGCTCAAAGTTGATGTCTCGATGATGATGATGATGATGGGATCAGCTTTGACAGATTTTCCAAAAATTAATTAAAAAAATTGGGGTGTCTGGAGAGGGAAATTCATGAATAATTGACAAAAATATCTGATATATCCTTCAAGTAATATAAATAAATGGAACCTGCACGGCTGTGAATTGTAATTATCTGAAATAGTAAGTACTTATATTTAATTATACCACCAATTGAACCCTAGTAAATTACGTCACTTGTTAGACTCCATCGGCAACTAAAAAGAAAGAAAGGATAAATTACATTTAGTGGTCACTGAAGTATGAGTAAAATTCATTTTTTACCATTAAAGTTTGAAAAGGAATGAAACAGTCACTAGCATAATTGTTTTATAAAAAACCGATCATGCTGTCGTTAACAGTCATTATCCCAGTAATGGAAGACTGATGTGACGCATTAGCTAGCTTACTTGGTCAAAATTCTCTCTCGATCCTACTAGATTGACAGATGTGGCACATTTTCCTTTCTTCGATTCTCTTAATCTTATTCTTTTATAACTCTCTTTCATTTCTTCATATTATCAATCTACTCAATTTAATTCAAACACTCATAAAAAAAATAAACTATAAATGGCATTTATAACAGCAACTCAGTCGTGTTGTTTCAAGATGGAGTCTTACGTTGACAACAAGCACAGAAAAAGGCATCCGCCATACTAACATGTAAGCTACTCGATATAGATTGTTCGAATCAACTTAAGTACAAAAGGAATAGATAAAATGATCTCAACCACAAACGATAAAGTTATCATAACAAACAATGACACAACCATTTTGAATAAGATGGAAGCCCTTCAACATGCCGCTAAGATGCTCATCGATCTGTCTAGATCTCTGTTGTGGGTAGGGGTAGGGGTTAGTGTATACCCATTGTTTTAAATAAGTTATTAAATATAGTTTAATATATTAAAGAAAGGATAAATATAAAAAAGCTACATACATATTTGATTAAATTAAATTAAAAATATAAAAAGCTTAAATTAACCACAATTCAAAATATATCTGAAATGTATCCAACTATAAATCATCTATTAAATGTGCTTCAGTTGTTTAGATGTTCCCATACTCCGTAACTGACCTAGTGGTTTGAATCCTTCCCAGAACACTTTTATTTTCTGTTTTTTTTTCTACATTAACTATAATATAAGATATATACAAAATATTGTTATGTTTGTTTCAAATATGAGATTTGACTTGGGGGTTAAGGTGTGCCCAACTCCTTTTAAGGATTGATGTTCATTTCCTTTCAACATCATTTTTATTCAATTTATTTTTCATCCCATTAAATGATGATATTTTCATGACACATGTCACCATCTGATTAGATGATTAAATTAAAATTAAAATTAAATTGATATAATAAGTAAATAATGAAGATAAAATGTATAATTATATTATTTTTGTTAACTATCACGACTTGATTCATATTATAAATAATAAAGTGATCTGATTGAAAAAACTTAAAAATCTATGGTCAAATTAAAATTTTCCAATAATAAAATGGTCATAGTGTAGTTTGCCAAAAATAATATAAATTCAAACTATAAAACTCTAAAAAGAATTGAAGCTATTATACACGTGTTTGTCACGATCCAGAACAGTTGAAGAGGAATTCAACTAAGGGGACAAATATAAGAAATGTTTGTTTAGCAATAATTGGTTTTTTGGAAAATGAATTACTAAAATTTGAATTATGGAAAATGATTTATATTTTTGGAAAACGTTTTCTGAAAAATATTTTTCGTAAAATGAATTACATTTTTCTAAAAAATATATGAAAAATATTTTACGATGTTTAGAATATGTTGTTTAAACATTTTTTTCATTAGTTAATGAGTTTTTTTAAAAATGATTTATTACAAATATTAAATACAATAGGTAATATTATTTATCATAAAAATTAATATTATTTTTTAAAATATTAAAATAATTTATTTATTATTAAAAAATTATTTTTATAACTTATTATATATTATTAAAATAAAAAATATATTATCTTATATTATTATAATATAATTGATTATTTTATTATAATATTAAAAATATAATATTATATTATTAGAAATATTAATAAATATATTTTTAAATATTTTAATAATTAATATTTTGATTAAAATGATATTAAAATATTTTATTAATATTAAATTCATAAAATAAAATTATTTTGAGTATTTATTCTTTTAAGTGAAAAGTTTGAAAAATGACTTACGAAAAATCAGACCGTAAACGTAAGTCATTTTCCAAAAAACACAAAAGAAATTTTGTTGACCAGAAAAATGTTTTACGTTGACCAACCAGTTTTCCTCCAACCAAACACTAGAAAATATTTTTCAAAAAATGAATTACGAGAAATAAACACGAGAAAAATATTTTCCTAAAAATAAATTACGTAAACAAACACGAAATTTCAAAGAAAATCAATTCCGTAATTTATTTTACGACAATCAAATAGACCTTAAAATGAATTGAAGCTATTATACACGTGTTTGTCACGTGCCTTATAAGCCGTCTTCTTAACTGTGCAACAGGGCAAATAATCACAAGGAAGAAAGAAAATATCGATAAAAAAAAGGTGAAATGTTTTGCATTGTTTTTAGGGAAAAAGACTGATCTTGTTTTCTTTGAACTTTCTCCAGAAATATCAGAGAAGCAGAAGTTGTTCTTCATTGAAATCTTCCACGCAGTCTCTCTCTCTCTCTCTCCTTTCCCGCCTCATCTCATCTCTTCATTTGATTATCTTCCTCGTTTTTGTTCAATCTGAATGAAGTTTTTCCACGAAAATTATTCGTCATTTTTATTGACTAACGTGGCTCGTCGATCCAAAAATTTCCGACTTTTATTTCCCCTTTCGAGCCGATTTTGTCATAAAAATTCTCTCATTGTAAATTTGTTTCTATTAATCAATATAATTTCAATAGCTTATAATGGAAGCTCAAAAGGTATCCGTGAAGATCAGAACCAAAGCTCTTAGCACCATCGAAGGGTTACAGCTGATAGGAAGGGATGAATCTTCCATTCGGTAAGAACGACTCTTCTATTAAACATTCCTATTTCAATCCGAATGTATTTCGTACGCACATAAACAAGTCTGGTCACGGTTAAATTGAATATTTTTTCGTAGATTCATCAAGAGAAGGATGCCATATACGTTCCTCTATATGATTCTCTTGGAAATTCCATTACTCCATTTACTGTTCAAGCTTCATTATTTAATTCATTTCGAGTTGATAATTTATCTGGTTTTACGTTGCTGGAGGTGCTAATGCAGTGGAGTCCAGCGTTAACCATGTTGAAGTTTAAATAGCCTTTTTTCAAGAGAACAAACTCCCTGCTGTAAGTTGTCATTGCAAAATGAAGCAATATGGTCATTAGATAATTTTATATGAATTTTTCTTCCTCCAATTGCAGACTATAATTCTTTTTTTTTTCAGTTGCATTTCATTTTAAGTTTTGATTCACATTATGTTTTTTTTATCCTGGACAGATCCTATCATGTGTTCCAGCATGTTGTTCTTACTTAAAAAGTAAGTCCATATTCCATTAATTAGGAGCTTTGACATTAAGGTTACTTATTTTCCACAGCAAAATCTCATCAACTGAAGTATTTATCTTCTTTCTTCAGCTATTGTCATCATTGCAAATGTTTCCAGCAAGCAGAAGAAGGAAGCCGAAGAGCTCGGTGTGTCGTTCATTTCATGGAAAGAATTCTCTGAGCTGGTAACATGTTTAAACTTCTACCGGTTAACTTTTGAGGTGGAAGAATTCTCTGAACAAATTTAAATTTTGAGTCTTTTGTACTTTGGATTATGATGAGAACATTTGTTCTGTCATGAGAAAGCTGAATTCAGATGGTATCACTACAAGAAATTTCTACTATTGTGAGAAATTTAATTTTCTCAAAATTAATTTTGTCACTATTAGTAGTTTTTTGGTGACAAAATAAATAAACGTCGCATTAGATTAAAAAAAGATATACAAGTATGATAAAAGCTAAAATCGTCATAATAATTTGTCACAATTAACAAACATATGTAATATATGGTGACAAAATATTTTTTATTATCATTTTTTGTCACAAATGTTTCCCTCCAATTTTTTGGCACCAAATTGAAGGCATATATAGCGACAACTTTATAACTAAAAGTTTTAGTAATTACGACCCAAAAAATTGTCACAAGAAATAATGAGATTTAGATTTGTTGTGAAAAATTTTGTTTATAATTATATATTTTAATTATAGTGACAAAATGTATAGTCACAAATGATTATCTCCAATTTTTGGTACAAAAACAAAATCATATAGTGACATGTTTTGTAACTATAAGCTATAATTATTGTTACAAAAAAATTGTCACAACAAATAATGAGATTCAAGTTTTTAGTAAAAAACAATGTTGTCGTTATATGTTTTAATTATAGTGACAAAATATATTGTCACAAAGATTTCCCTCCATATTTTTGCGCCATAAAAAATAATATATTGACAAATTTTGTAACTATAAGTGTTAATAATTATTACAAAAAACATTGTTACAAAAAAATAATTGTATTCACATTTTTTGTGACAAATTATATTTGTAGTTATAAATTTTAACTATGGTAATAGAATATATTAATTGTCATAATATTTTTCTCCAATTTTTTGTTTCAAAAGTTATATTAACAATTTTTATAATTATAATTTATAGTTATTGTTATAAAAAATTATCACATCAAATAATAAAATTCAATTTTTTTTAATAAATTATTTTTATACTTATATATTTTAATCATTATGAAAAATTATACTATCTGAATCATTTCTCCCTATTTTTTAATATAAAAAATATTATATAGTAAAAATATATATTGTCATAAAGATTTTCCTCCAAATTGTTTTGCACCAAAAAATCATATAGTAATAATTTTTGTAACTATAAGTTTTTATAATTATTACAAAAAATAATGGTATTCACATTTTTGTCAGAAATTATACTTGTCGTTATAAATTTTAATTATAGTGATAACATATATTGTGATAAATATTTTTCTCCACTTTTTTTTTGTTTTAAAAAGCTATATTGAAAAGTTTTGTAATTATAATTTATAGTTATTGTTATAGAAAAAATTATCACATCAGATTATAAAATTCAAGTGTTTTGTAATCAATTATTTTTGTAGTTATATATTTTAATTGTTATGAAAAATTATACTATAAAAATTCATCCCTATTTTTTGGTGCAAAAAATGTTATATAGTAAAAGTTTATTTTAGTTATTGTTATAGAAAAATTATAACAACAAAAAATTTATTTTTTAATTAATAAATTATTTAGTTTTTTATGAAAAAATATGTTTGTAGTTATACATTTTGATTATAATGAGAAAATATAATTATTATTATAAAAACAAAAATTTCAAATAAAAATCAAATTTTTGTGATATATATAATTCAATGGCATTTTCAAATGTTCGATTCAAGTGAACCGTCCAAATGCAACTTAATAACCTGTTAAAATAAGTTTAAAAGTGTAATTAATAAATATTATTTTTTATTGATGGATATGATATGAATTGAGAAACACTTACATACCGTTTTAGCAAAGAGAAAAATTCAACTTGTTGTCTTTGTTGCAAGTCAACATTCCCTTGTTTCTGAATTTCCTCCATATGCATTTTGTATATTAAAATATATATATATAATTAGTAAAACATAAAGTTTAATAATATTTAAAGTTTACATGTACTTTAATGACAAAAATGAACTTACTTTAAGTCTTTTTATATCTCTTCACAATTGATAAGTATATACTATTGAATCATTTTAAAAATCAGAATCAGACAATGTATCATATATTGCAGCTCCCAAAGATCTTGTTTTTTGTGAAAAAAATAGAATACTCATAATTATTACAAAAATAAATGTATAATTATTAATCTATATTACTGTAAAAAAATCTTACAAAAATATTAAAACAATCTACATAATAAAAGACATAATTTGATGCAAAGAAAATAAGTTTTTAAGTCCGATAACTTGGAAAAAAAATTGGACCAAAAGATTTAAAATTATTAAAAAATATCAAAAAATTCAAAATTAAAAGCAAAAATAAGCGTTTCGGGATGAAAAAACGGGACAAGGCACCTTCTGTACCTTGCCAGCGCATAGATCTCGAAAAAATACGTGGATTCAAAAAAAAAACAGCTCAGTCGGACCACCATCGTGGGCGAAGTTATGGCCTTTCAAAGTTTTGACACTCATATTATCGTTTTACTGCACTGAATTAAATAAGTGAAACGCAGCGTTTGAATTTAAACCATTTACTGCTAAACTCACCGTTTTGTAATAAACTAAAAAATGGTTTTATATTCCCCTATTATATCCTCCCCGCAAAAAAAATCACCCTCATTGAATCAATGTTTGAAATTTGCAGTCAAGGTTTTCAGAGAATCTCCGATTCCGATGGAACCTTACTGGACTAAAACTGTTGATTTGATTCGCTTTTGGGGCTTTTGCGTCGACTTCCGATTGTGTTTGTCAAAAGGTAAATTTATATTTCTTTCTATTCCTGCTGAAACATGGGATTTCTATTTTCAATTTCCGCCTTTCAATATACGCAGTTAGTTCCCAGAACAACAAACAGATGGTTATATTTACATCGAATTCTTGCTCAAGTGGGAAGCGAAGCGGTTTTCCTGGTAGGTTCAAATGCGTTATTGTACTACTGTTATGTACCACTGTACGATCTTACTACACTTCATGAGTTAAATTGCTGTTCATTGTTAACATGTTCCAAGCATTGGAAAAACCTAAGGAATTTCTATTATCTTAATGTTCAATTATACGTGAAATCCCCATTGTTCTCCATCAACTGTTAGTACCTGGGTTATCTTATGTACGGGGTTATATCATGTTTTTTAGACAAATGCCCATAATTGAATATATTGACAATTAGGTAGTTTGTCAAGTAAAAATTATGCAAATTCTGGCTTCTGTTAATGTTAATTATTATTATCATTGTCTTTTTTTTCCTTTGGGAGGTAGGGTTGGGGGGACTGCAATTTTAAGCTGAAGGCAGCATTAGCCGTACCGTTTATTGTGGACAACTAACACTTTTCAACAGCCTTTTCTTAGTAAAACCAAATCTTCATGAACGTATGGGTAGTTCTGATATTTCTAACATTGCTGGTAAGTATCTACCCTACACCTTGTCTATTTTTTTATGCTTTGTTCATTGAGAATCAGATTCTTTGCTGCAAACCACATGGGTATTTCCGCCTAAAGTAATGTCATGTTAGGGTAAAGAAAATCTTATGTAGAAGGAGCTGCCAATTGTTGTACACAATTGTACCTATGATTTTTATGATTGCCACTATTTTAGGTTATCTCATTAATTCATCTATAGATTCATGAAATCTAGTGTTCATACATAAATTGTGGTTTAGGGTTTGCAAATATTTAGTATCTTACTATGCAATTAGACGTCAAATGCTCCTTGTTTCCTTCACTGCTAGTGGGACAATTCTCTGATGTATGAGGTTATCTCATTTTTTTTTATATAAATGCTGCTAATTGAGGATGTCCACAAGTAGTCGGTTTGACTTCAATCAGAGTGCACTAGAAGCACCAATCCATATGTTATCAAAAACAATTGAACCTTATTGCATTAATTAATCCAAAATATGTTCTCCAAATGCTAAGTATGAAATGTGCAAATTAAGGGGTTCGAATCTCATATCTGGTCTAGCTTGAAGTAAGCTAGATTGTTCCACTTGCAATGAATAATCCTCCGACTTTTCGTTTGTTCTATCTTTAGTAAATCATGCATTTAGTCACAATAACATATTAAATTTGGTCAAAATAAAAATTTATGTTAAATTTATTTTGTCACAATATTTTCTCAAAATAACAACTTTTGACAAATTTATTTAGTCATAATAACAATTTATAACAAATATTAATTCCTCTAAATAAAAAATTATGAAAAATAATATTCTTTCACAATATAAAGTATAACAAATTTATTTAGTTACAATAACATAGTAAATTTAATCAAAATAATTTTTTTGTCAAATTTATTTGGTCACAATATTTTATCGAAATAAAAAATTGTAACAAATTTATTTAATCAAAATAGTAATTTATAACAAATATTAATTTCTCATTATAAAAAATTGTGACAAGTAATATTCTTTCACAATAACAAATTGTAATAAAATGATTTAGTCACAATAACCCATTAAGTTTTATCATAGTAAAAAATTATGTCAAATTTATTTCGTCCCAATATTTTATCAAAATGAAAATTGTGATAAATTTATTTAATTAAAATAAAAAATTATAACAAATATTAATTTCTCATTATAAAAAATTGTGACAAATAATATTCTTTCACAATAACAAATTGTAACAAACTTATTTAGTCACAGTAAAAAGTTATAAAAAATATTTAGTGACGAAATAAAAGTAGTGAGAAAATAAATTTTGTTGTAATGTCTTTTTGTCACGAAAACATTTTTTGTTTGATGTTATAATTTAACTTAATTGTGACAAAATTTACTTTTTGTGATAAAATAATTATTTTATTTTTTGTCTCTGTAAATTACATTTAGTGACGAAATAACAATTGCGACAAAATAATTTTTGTTGCCTTATGTATTTTCGTCACAAAAATTCTTTATATTTGATGTTTAAATATAAGTTAGTTATGAAAAATGTACTTCTCGTGACGAAATGGTTAATTGATTGTGACAAATATTTTATTGCGATAAGTTAATTATAGTAACGAAATTTCATTATTATAATAAATACTATAATATGGTAACGAACATAATTTTGTCACAATATACTTTACATTACAAGGTTGTTCTAACAAACATGGTAGCAAATAAAATTGGTCAGAATAAATATATCGTGACAAATTTAGTACTTTTAGTGATAAATAATTTTATTGAAACAATCTAAATTTCTTGTATTGTATGGTGGATACAATGCAAACCTTGCATAATTTGAATGAAGGCAAGTTAGTGTTACATGCAACAAAGTGTTGTTGTATATTTGTTGATAGAAGTAGATTAACTGGTCCAATGGCAGTTTAAAGGTAAATCTTCTGAATTGGTGAATTTTTCAGATGAACTTATTGGTTTTGAAGAATCTTGGAATGGAAAAGCCCAAAAGTATTTACCTGGTTGGTCTGAGAGTTTTATTGGCCATGATACCATAGGTAATATATGTCTTACTACAATGCTTTTCCCTTGTAATTTTGCATCACGTTATAAGGGGAAAAAAGGCAAGACTAGTTCCCCCGTTTCTTCATTTAGTTTTTTTTATTATCTCAGTTTTTCACTTTACAAATTTATAGTTGGTGTAACGGCCTGAATAATGTTGAGGCAATGCTTTTTTCCCCATCCTATAACCTCGAATCATATATTTTGCTGCAACTATTGTCTCAGGGGCTAACAGCAGTGGACAGAACATGCAGGCATGTCAGAGAGGATGGGCACTTCCCTCTACTGAGCATTCTCAGTCGAAAGAGAGGGTGATGCCGGATGCAAGAGACGGGGGAGGGCCCTCATGCAGCCAGCACTGTGCAAGGATGAAAGGATCAACAGATTTGGAAGATGAGAGTTCCCGCACTCAAGGGAAGCGAAGGGCCTAAGTCGAAACACACCGACTAGATCCTGTAGTAGAGGGCATTGCCTTTTCTCATATATATAGTTTTGTATGCTTGGCTGTTGCCATCTTTTAGAGCTTATGTTTTCCTTTAGTTTTAAGCTCATCGATTACGTATTATATGATATATTTGTGGCTGTCCTATATCTGAAGGGGTAGCTAATGCAAAGAGCTTTAGACAATTACTACAAAAACATGTTGTTAGGGTATAATCTCGATTCTCCGGATTAAACATTGCAATTTGACATGAGCAAATGCTTTGCTTCACTTTCTACTGAATTTTATTGTTGTGGCAATGTAATTTTGTGATTGGCTTCACTTTCGACTACACTTTGTGTTTGATTCTCACATTAAAGTGTGAAAGTTGATACCGTCAAATCAAAGATTAACGTAAAATTTGATCTATTACAATATTCATATGCTTATTTAATTAAATGTTGATGCAAAATTTTAATATATGTTTAGATAAATTATGTAAATTTTAATATTAATTAAAATTAAAATAATACGTGATATATTTAAATAATAAAGTAATATATTATCGATGAATTTTTATATTTATAATTTTCATTTAAATATTTAGAATTTCACTTGTTAAAAAATATAGAGCAATGACAATTTGGTAAAATATACATTCCACTAATCTTTTATTCCTTCAACTAAACACTGTAATCTTACATTCCTGCCAAACAAACAAACACAGTAATGTAACATTCCCAGTAATGTGTCAGGTAATGTTATATTCCGGTAATCCTATTCCATAAGGTAATCTTACATTCCGTGAACCAAACGCACCCTAAAACTAAACTCACCAAATATTAAGCGGGTTCAACAAAGAGAGACAATTAGTCAATTTTTTATTTATTTTTAATAGTATTATTATAAATAAAAATATGCCACATTGATATTCATGAGTAAATAAATAAATTCAAAAATAATAGTTAATTCACATCACAAAATACCAAATACTACACCAATATCAATTCTTTGGACAATAATATTAATAATAAATGGTGTTTTCGTTGTAATAATTAAATATTAACAATAAACTATATATCGAACAATAGATTAATCTTTGAATTAATTTAATGCTCACATAAAATACCTTATAATTGTCACATATTATTGTCACATGTGTCACTTGAAATTCGGTCAAATATTAATTTTCCTTTGGGTCAATTAATAAACGCATGAATTACAAGAATACATGATCATCTTGATATTTTAAATAAATTAATCTATGCAAAAGAGGTCACTTTGGCAACATTATGTTTCAACGACTCAACTAAAATATCAAATATAGCCAAAATATAAATTTATTTTTTTTAAAATATATATTCTAATAACCAATGATCTAAAATGAAATTTTGATCAAACCGAATTAGATATATATATTTCATAGATTGCATTAACAATATATAAAACTATATAAATATTGTCGACCAATGAATTTCTCTTAATTTTATCTTTCAATTAAATTAAAAATACTAAAATAATAATAAATTTGAATAATTATACACCTCATCTTAATATATCATATACTACATTAATATTTGATCTTTTGATAAAATGTTCACTTTAAGTGATATATGATTCGGTAATCAAACATTGATAATAAAGACATGTCGAGCACAAATCTTCCTTTGGGTTGTTTTATTACTCTCAAATCAAACCGAATAATTATCATATGTTTATTACTAAAGTTGTACATGTAATAATATCAACTATTAATCTTCATTTGGAGTTTGGACCGATCAATACTAACATAATATAAATTGCACACATAACCTTCCATACTTTAAAACATTTTTCATAATTGATGTCACTTTAATTACTTATTGCTTTAATTATGTCATCTCATTGGGCTAACGAGCAAGAGTTTGTGCACGTTGTGACAAAGACTATTGAAGATCACTAGGGTACGGGAGTGAGGAATACGTTACGGGCTGCAAAAGTTGCATCAAAACGGTAGGTATCAAGCTTTAGATAGATGAATAGTCGTCAGTAGCAGCTATTGAAGGAAAGATTTTTAAATTGGAAACTAAGCTCTTGTCTTCATCGGATCCGTCTGCTGTTCGGAATGAATTAATGTCTCAAATCATCTTTGTGGGCAAAGCTCAGGAGAGATGAAAGGGAATGGCTCTAAAAGTCTCGGCTTAAGTGGTTCAAGGAGGGCGATAAGAATATGAAGTTTTTCCATGTGATAGCATCCATGAGAAATAGGAGAAATCATATCTCCCAAATTCGATTTGGCAACCATTTGACCTCTGACCCGAAGCTTTTTTCTTTGAACATTGAGGGACATTTTCAAGAAATTTATAATGCTATTCCAACCATACCAGTGAAGTCCTTTAAGGGAGAGATGAGGAGGTTCTGCGTTGAGTCGTCCAATGCTTTGGAAATGCCCTTCTCGGTTGAGGCATGGGAAGCTATTTGTGCGTCGGACGGTTCTCGTACGCCTAGTCCGGACGGTTCTCGTGCGCCTAGTCCGGACGGGTTTAATTTGGATTTTTTTCAAGAAGTTCTGACACGTGCTTAAAGATGAAACTATGGTTTTTTTTCCGGAAATACCAAGGGAACTTTTTTGAGTTTTCGTTAAATCACTCCATAATACTCATTTCCAAGGTGCTTAATTAGAAGATTTTAGGCCAATCAGTTTTGGGAAGTTTGTACAAAATTTTAGCCCATGTACTATCAAGAAGATTGGCTTGTGGAAGGGAGTAAGAGTTGACGCAAATGGAGAAGCGGTGTCTCGTCTACAGTTTGTCGACGATCTGGTTATTTTTTCAGAGGCAACCGGACCCTTTGTAACAAACATCAAGAGGGTGCTGAGAGTATTTGAGGTAGCTTCTGGGTTGAGTCTAAATATGAAAAAGACAGCTATTCGAATTAAATGTGGGGGATAGTGATATTGCCGCTTGGGCAGCCGCAATTAAGTGTGGGGTATAATCATTTCCGTCCAAATACCTCGGGCTCCCATTGGGTTATCGTCGCAACTCGAAGACATTGTGGCAGCCTATTCTCGACAAAATTCAGTCTAGGCTAGACGGTGAAAGGGAAGATGATCTCCTTTGGGGGTCGACTTACGTTGGTAAAGTCGACGCTTAACAATTTACCAGTGTTTCATATTTCCATGTTCAAAATTCCAGCTGGTATTGCTTCCAAGATAAACAAAATGACAGTAAAGTTTACATGGGGTTCTTCAAACAATCACTCCATTGACTGGATTAGGTGGGAAAGCATCACAATGCCAATAGAGTGCAGTGGGCTAGGAATCTATGGTGTTAACGTTCGAAACAGGTCTTTACTAACAAGTGGTAATGGAGATATTGTGCTGAACCTCATAGCTTATGGAGGTGAGTAGTAGACGGAAGAGCAGGTAGTGTGTCGAGGGGGCTTGTACAAATCTGTAGTGGGGGTAGGTCAATGTCATGGGTGTGGAGAAATATTTCTAATCCCCTTCAGAAGAATGACGATGACTTCACACGCAACTTACAATTTGTGCTAGGCGATGGTGAAGCGATTGATTTTTGGGAGGACACATGCTCAGGTAGTGTTCCTCTCAAACTCGCGTTTCCTCGTGTGTTTGCTCTTGCTGTCTAGAAGGAAGGTAAGGTTCATGAATTTGGTAGTAAAATCAATGGACTCTGGGTGTAGAGAATTCAGCTTCGTAGACAATTGTTTGAGTGGGAAAAGGCGCTGTGGCAGGATTTTTTTAAATCAAATATCACTGGCAGCAAGAACATCAACAGTAAGTGATGGTGTAAAATGGGTAGGTGACTCATCTGGATGTTACTCACCCAAAGTTTTTTGTAGATTGGTAGCTAGTGCAGGCACAACCGCCGATAAAATGTGGAAGTCGGTTTGGGCGGGTGTAGCGCCTCCCAAAGTGGAAGCGTTCTTGTGGAGAGCAATCCTAGAACGTATACCGGTTAAATCCGAGCTGCTAAGGTGAGGAGTGGTTTGGCAAGGTTCGATGTGGTGTGTGTTGTGCAACAAGTCCCACGAAACCTCAAACCATTTGCTGTGCCAAAGAAGGCGTAAGAAGACATCAACCCGTGCTATGGATTAAGGTGAATTGATGGGTGTAGCAGAAGCTCTTTTGATTTAATCCCTGCTGCAGGTTGGAAGAAATCACTTAATGTAAGAGTTTGGCTTTGCCAAGTCTAAGAGCGTGGTGAAGATTGGTTGAATTTGCGCTCGGTCGAAGATTAATACTTCTCTACGGTGAATGGTGTTGAAAATTCAATATTAACCTAAATAAGTTCACACTTAAATTAATTTGATGTCATTGCTTACATCAATTTAATTTTGATGTCATTGCTTACATCAATTTAGTTTTGATGTCATTGCTTACATCAATTTAGTTAGGTAAAAATTAAGTATTTTTCTCATATTTTAATTTCAATAGTTTAGATTATTTAATACTTATTTTAATGAGTGGTTTAGATTGTTTCTTGTAACCTATAAATACCCTACTTGTATTTGAGTTTTACCATCCAACAATCAAAGTTTAATTATAAGCATTTGAAAGCTTTCTTAAGAGTTTTCTCTTTTGCAATTTTGTGAGATTATTCTAAAGATAGTCTCTTGAAATTCCAAGTATGCTTTGTGGCTGCAGTTTTTAACTGATCTTCCACATCAGAAATGATTTTTTGAGATTATTGTCGGGTTTTTACAAACCTTGTGAAGCTTCTTTGTGTCTAAGTAATTCAGTACTCTGCACGTTTGTTACTCAAACTTGTTCGGTATAGTCAAAGTCTTGCCGTTAAGATGGGTGATCTTCAAGTAGTTAGAGAAATCAAGAAGCTCAACAACAAAAACTACAACATAAGGGCAACATGTATGAAGTCATACTTACAAGGTCAAGACCTTTGGGAGTTTGTCGGTGGTGGTGAAGTTACACAACCGGCGGCAGAAGATGCCAATGGCATCTTGCGAAAGTGGAAAATTAAAGCAGGCAAAACAATGTTTGCTTTAAAGACCACAATTGAAGAAGAAATGTTGGAGCACATCCGGTATGCTAAAAACACCAAAGGAAGCATGAGACACTTTTGTTACACTCTTTTCGAAGAGGAACGATACAAAATTAAAACTTCTCGAGAATGAACTTCTATCAATGGCGCAACGCGACATGGCGGTTGCTCAATACTTTCACAAGGTGAAGTTGATATGTCGCGAAATTTCAGAATTAGATCCGACAGCTGCTATTGGGGGAAGCCAGGATAAAAAGAATAATTGTACATGG